TAATTGGATTAGGAGGGCCAGATGACATAGGCTCCTTCCCAAGAGTTAAAGCAGATGTGGCCACAGGGAGATTTGCCACCGGAACATTTCCTTCAAATAAAGGAATTGTTGTCAAAGGTGCCCTTGTGACTAAGGTTGCTTGAAGAGATTGGAAGGACGCCATCAATTCCTTCAAAGTATTTTCCATATTTTCAACACGATTTTCCAAAGCAACCTTCTCTACATTAGCTTCGTCAGCCATCTTCCTTGCAAGAGCTCTAGTGAGAATAGGTGAACGAACTCTTGGATAATTCCTTTTAGGACCAATCTTTCAACACCTAAAGAAATATAAGCATTATTAAAAAATCATAGATTTATCTAATTGGCATTTTGAAAGATAAGTTCCTAATGTTCTATTAATGAGTAAACCTAACTTCTAATTATTTATTTTTACACATGGATGTTGAGAACAACTTAAGCCATTTGCATGTAAAGGGAAGGAGAAGTTAGAGCCAAGTAATTGTCAAACATGAGGAGATTGCTCCCTTCATGATCTTTTAGAATTTTTTTTAAGTAAAAGAAAAATAATGAGGAGATTGCCTCCTTCATATCTTTTCTTTTTTTTTTTTTATTGAGGAACTTGCTTTCTCTCAACTAGTAAAATTCACTTTGTCAAGATTACTCAAACTATTCCAAGTAGCAACCAATTCTTTTACACAAGGTCTTTTGGTTTGCACAGAGAATCCATCATTGTGTAACTTGTTCTTCTTGGATAATGGCAGACATTCTAACTCTAAATTCATCCTTTTTCCCTAATTGTTCTTTTTCTCCAAAGAATCCATGTGTAAAATAATCAATTACCTATTTATTAAAGAAAAAAAAAAAGGAGAGTTAATAAATGTCTTACCTCTTGGTCGAATTCCTCACCTAAGAAACACAAAAACATTGTTTAAAAACAAAATACTCCCAACGTGTCCTATGTATAAGGTTCTTAGACTTTGAAAGTGATTTACTAGGCTGACCGTCCTAAGGTTAAGTTTTGTCTAAGTCCATTACATGCGGTTTCCTAGTGAATCCTATACGATTAGGCTTTTCAACTGCTAACTTCTATAAGTCAACAATTATTGACTTCCATAAAGTCAACAATTGCCAACTTCTATAGAGTTAACAAGAGGCATTTCATGACCTAATATAGCAGCAGCATTATGACTGTCAAGCCATATTAACCCATAAAATGAACCTAAAAGGGATAAATCTCACTTCACAAAGAAAGCGTTGCGCTTTTCATTGCTCCATGAGTTATCCATCTATCTAGAGGTCGGGTTCACCTCGTCAAGGACAAAAATGATATGCAAGTGAGGTGTGTGAG